ACCAAGAGGCATCAGTCGAGAATGCTGGTATACCTTGGCCGATAAATACGCATGGAGCTCAGGATGGAATGGACCCTGAACTCGCGGACGAGGCAAGCAGTGCCCATGAACCCCCTCCGGGAAACCCTCCGGCACCAGAGCCTGTGAACCCTGATCCCGTTGAACCGGTAGCGAACGACCCTACCCGTGATCTCATCTACCATATGCTGAACAGAATGGACCAGCAACAGGCTGCGAGGGACCCGCAAGCCGCAGTTGTCGCTCAACCAGACTTCCTCCAGCTTGTGATGATGGTAAAGAAAATGGGGAGGAGGCCGTACCTTGGTGGGTCCGACCCCTTTGCGGCAGATGCCTGGCTACATAACCTCGAGAGGAATTTTGCTGCAACGCGTTGCCCAGCAGACTACAAGACATAGGTGGCTGTACACTACTTGGAGCAGGAAGCGAGTAGTTGGTGGATTAGTTTGGAGCCGACCTGGCTAGACTTTCGTGGGGAATTTGAGAAGAAGTACTTCCCACCTGAAGCCAAGGACAGGCTTGAGGTCCAATTTCTAGAACTGAAGGAAGGCAATCGTAGCGTCAGGGAGTATGAAGCTGAGTTCACTAGGCTTCGTCTACGTTATGGTCAAGGAGACGAGATGGCCCTCATTCGAAGATTTCTGCGAGGTCTCAGACCAGAACTTCGTAGTCGTCTGCAAGTAGTGGAGTTCACTAGTCTGTTCCACCTGACGGAGCGTGCGGTTAATGTGGAAGAAGGGATCAGTGATGAACAAGAGGATGCGATGTTTGTGGACCCGACTAAGTTGGACGGTGGGGTAGGTGGGACTCCACCGGCGTCTCAACCACGGTTGTTAGTCAGGGAAGGTCTAACAACCGTGGGAGGCAGAGTAGTCGAGGGAAAGGGCGGAATACGAGGGCTAGTCAGAGAGCGCCATCAAGTGTAAGTCAGCTTGTGTGTTATCAGTGTGGGAAAACAGGACACATCCGAAAGGATTGCTACCAAGCGAAACCAAGGGAACCCTCCGCCCCATCACATATCACCTGCTACGCGTGTGGAGAGTAGGGACACTACGCCAATGGATGTCCAACCAGGTTTTCGTCACCCTATGGAAAGGGAAGGACTATGGAAGGATCGGCACCAAACACGCGTGAGGGA